TCTAAAGTACCAAGTATGGATATATTGTTTAATGTGATTGGGAGTAACCTGTAATTATAACAATACAAGAGGGAGGTTTGGTTTTTACCCATTGTAGTTACCATGACAACTGCATACAGAATCTGCCTTTCATAACTTTCTATATCATAGCATTGCGTTTATTCCTAAAATATATAATTTTTATTATTTTCACACTGCTGTTAGTGAAGGGTAGTTGGTAGGCAATTCTGACTCCTGACAAGCACCCTGCAGCAGCCGCCTTGTTTATCTCCTTTATGACAAGCCTACAGCCTGACTGAAATGGGTAGTCTTCTATGGGACTGCGTATGTGCATACCTGTGTTTGTGCTGGGAGCGCACTGCACAGCAGTCTCCCAGCACAGTGACCAAGCAATCACTGACAGCTCCAGAACTCATACTAGAGATTGGGGTTTGGGAGGACCAGATCTCAATCACATGATCGTTGTAGTAACTGTACAGCCCACCCCTGTGATCTTTCACAGTGGATCTCTTTCTCATTGTTAAAAAAAAGCAGTATAAACAACACCTGAAAATGATGGCTATTTGGTACTTTTATCAGAATACTACAGCTGCTAAAGAGTCCTCTCTCTCCTTCTGTTACTACATTCCATGCTACCCTCTTCATCCCTACCTTTATCTATTGTTGACCCTTCTCTAACGAACAACTGGCTACCTGTCAACTTTCAGACGTCAACTAAGGCCCCTCCCCCCCTCTATGCGGGGCTCTCATAATTAGCTATTGAATGATACTCTTCATTGCCAACACAAGTCAGTTATGAGACCACACAGGTACAACAATACAATTATTGTGTTGGATGTAAAACATCACCTTTTTCATGTAAGGACCCCTGGACTCTAATGCCCCTTAACTGAATACTTGGAGTTCAAGCCTACCTTCATCCAGTTTCATAGAGTCAGATTTACTAAAACTGGTGCACTCAAAATCTGGGGAAACTGCGCATGGTAGCCAATCAGCTTCTAGCTTCAGCTCATTCAATTTAAATTGAATTCGAATAGAATCAAATCCAGAGTAGTATGCCCAAGCCGACAGGGAGGAGAACTGTTGGTAAACAAAGCAGCCCTTCTTCCCATTAGAGATCCTCTGTAATCGATAGCCGTGGCCGTGAACAGGGGCATAGGTAGGGCGCATGCGCCCCCTCCTCGGAAATGCAAAATCACATATATATGTGATTTTGCACACCCCTGCCACCTTGTAGCAGTATATACTGCTATAGAGCAGCAGGGAAGCAGTTAACTAAACACAATTATTTAAATAACAAATCAAAACAATATTTTCTCATTCTGCACATGTCTAGGGCCTAAGCTATTCTGTAATGGGTTGTACCATTTGTTCTGTAATGACAAAAACCCATAAAGAATGCATAAAAAAAGAAATATAGTTACATTTAAAATAATTTTTGTTCTACTACTTTGCGCAAGTTGTCCTTTGATTTAAAAAAAAAAAAAAAAAATAATCAGTAAATATCAGTTACCATCAAATTAAGGCTCAATTTGTTGTAAAACAAACAAGATATAATTCCCCTGGATACACTAAGTAGTTGCAACAATATGTAAAGTTTTACTAACACATGCCAAAGTTGCAAAACAGGTTTCACATGTTAAGATGTGTTTTACTGTCCATCATGAAGGGTTAAGAAGTGTAAACTAAATCTCATAAAACTCAGTTCACTCCTCACATTTGGGAAGCAGGTGGACACAATTGTCCAAGTGCAACATGGCGCATTCGGGCAGCAGCTGCCTGCTTTGTATGGCAGTCTTCCATGCCAAGATAGTGGTGTTACTGTAGGAGGTGAAATACAGACCAAAAACACACTGCATACAATGTAGACCTAAAGTGTTACTAAACGCAAGACACTGCATTCGCTATATCTGGTCTCCCACAGTACACAAAAATTCTATTACGATGGCCGTTAAAGTCAAGCCGGGACTTCTGAGTTTATATAATAAATGAACAAATGTCAAGGAGTGGAACCTGCATTTATTTTCAACATACTCCTGTTACATTTATACACTTACCCCAGCATTTCACTAATGGCTGGAAAGTGTCAGCATAGAAAGATTTGTGAGTATGACTGAACCATCCTAAGACAGCCTTCTTCACCATTGTGTTCACCGTTCCCACAGAAAGATTTGTCATGTCAACTTATGCGTTGATAATCCAGGATAAGGTGTTTGACGCACTAATGTTCACAGGAATGTCTGCAGTGGGCTGGAAACCACCACTGCTGGAATCATCAATGACGGATGGACATCTTTGAGACGTTTACACCACTCAAATGTCTTACTGAAGCTGAGCATCTCATCGCCACACGCTGTTCAATGCACACACTAACACTGTTGTCTGTCATCTCAATGGTCTCTGGCCTGACCCACAACATGTGCATTGCCTATCAGTAATAGGACACACTTGTCACTTACAATTGTCTGTAGTACCACCATGCTAGCATCCCTTTTTATACCTGTAAAATGAAATGTCCCAGCTTGACTTGAATGCTCCTTCATATTTTAGTACATATAAACTGCTAGATACCTTTTCTCATCAGCAATGTATAGCAGTCTTCTGACTTCTATCAATGTCTGGCTGAGCACTGGATAAAGCTTGTAAGATGAGTTTTTTTATTCTCCTCTGACTGTCCTATGAGGCTGTATGACCCCTGTTCCTGTGTCAGGACAGAGCTGATTGGCCATGTGCTGATCACTTGCACCTTCCCCACCCAAAACAAAAATACTTTCTAGCAATACACACCAAACAGAGCATGTGCAGAGTTCATCCTAGGGCTCTGTACCATAGGCAGATGGATTGAGGACTATTGGAAGGCGAGGGTTACAGAAGACAGGATCAAACGGCCTTTTTACACAGTGCAGAGGATTAACCTCTTAGGTTAATCAGGGAGTATAACAAGCATGCTTTGCTGCATATACAAACTGATTTTACTGTTGTGGGTTTAGTAACACTTTAAACATGTGCTTGTACAGTACATCCTCTGTATATCATCTTGAACTCTATTAAAAAGTATAGCCAAATGCAGGCTGGAGGAGAGTAAAGTATATATAAACTCATCTTGTAAAACAATCCATTCAATTTAAAATAGAGATGAAAGGCAAAACAGGTGTGTTAGATATATAAAATACCTTTTTTGCCCCAATTTATTGTAATCACATAACATCCAAGCCTTTATGCAGCTGAGTACAAAGAGGTGGGGGAGGAGAAATAGCAGCACAATAAACTTCCCAATGCATGGCTGTGCAGGGAAGGGGGGGGGGAGGGGGTGTGAGCAGAAGTCTGATCATTGGAGGAGAGCAAGCTGAGCTCCTAGCACACAAAGGAAGACTTTTTTTATACAAGAACGTGGTACAGCAGGCACAGCTCCTAGATTGTAAGCTCAAAAGAGCAGGGCCCTCGAACCCCTCGTGTATCGCATTGTATTGTTACTGTACTGTCGCATGTTCTGTCCCCCTTTGTAATGTACAGCACTGAGTGAACTGTTGGTGCTTTATAAATACTGTATAATAATAATATCAGGAATATGAAATGTTGTGTTTACATACTCTTTAACACATGTACACGTCATCACAGGATATGCTCCTTGTTTAGTTCTGTACTTTTTTTTAATCTATGAAAGAAAAATACTCTTCATAACGCATTGGCCCTTTCTTATATAACACTTGTAATTCATAATATAATGCACCTAAATTCAGGCAAGTATTTTTGCCAGCGTTAGCAACATTACCAACATGTGCAACAAATTCAGGTAGTTCTTACTACCGCCCGCCACTTTGAAAATCTGTTATGGCAGTGACAAATTCTTAAAAGGCTCGTTCACATTAGAACGCGTTCCATGCACGCTTTCCGCACTACATTCAAAATGCAGTGCAGTTACGATCAGCAGAGGGTGTCAGTGATAAGTTAATGACACCTCAAATGCAGGTTAGAAACACAGCGTTTGCTCATACCAGACTGCATGGTACAAAATCTGATCTGGTTGCAGTGCGTTTCCAAAAGTAGTGCATGCACTCTTTAATGTGGTGCAATTTCAGTCCATTCACTGCACAGAACTGCATGTGAATTGCCCAGTGTGTTCCTGTGCGATTCCCAGTGTGAACTGGCCCTAAGAATTAACACCAGTTTTCAAATTAGGAAACTGGTAGTAAAAAAGATCAGCTCTGAGCTGGCATACTGAGGTACACCAGTAATTAGAGCTTTCCGCAGAGAACTGTATCAAGAGCCCCATTTAGCCGAATGGTAAACAAAGGTTCCAGGAATATAGGTGATGTCATTAGCCAAATATGTCAAAGCCTGTATTTGAGAAATTACTTGTTACTGGGTGGTCAGAGCTTAATGGGGACCTGAGAGACTAGTTCCCCATCAGGTCTCCTTACTTCTGAATGACAGCGCACAGCAGTGAGAGGATTCAAAAGACTCAACTGGACTGAAAGTGGTTATCCACTTGCCTCTACCATGCCCTGTCAATCAAAAGCAGAGCAGATTAGATGGGGGAACTAATCTCTCAGTTGCCCATCTGGCTCTGCCCCGCCCTAGTACAAAGGTCTACTGCCATCCTGGTCAGTGTGATGGACTCAATGAGGGCACTGAGGGAGGAGTGTCCAGGGTGGGCACTCTAACATCTGGGCACACATGGACAGATTCATGTACTTGTCGGTGACAGGTACATGAATTGGATGCAAGCATTCACACTTTAGGTTCTATGGCCCAATGGAATTCCACCGGGTCTCTACAATACCCTTTATGAATTCCTACAACTCTATTTTTCCATTGGTTATGTTTGTATTTATTTTAACATTTTTCCTAATCGTGTAAATACAAGAAAAAAGAAAATGTGTGCCACATTTGCTTTATTAAGCATACCAGAAAGCAAAAAATCACATTCAACCACATCAACAACAGGTTACGTTCAAGTCCACATTAACTCCAAGTGCCGTCACATAGGATCCAGTGCTTCATTTGTAGGTCTTCATGTGCCACAATCCATCATTTAAATAGTGAATATTTTCAATGCCAATGCCTTTATTGACCTTTTCACTGTAAAAGAATAAACAGGTTTAACTTTCTTTTGTATTACAGTACAGAAGGATGCTTACTATAGTGGAAACACGCATATATGTAAGGAATAGTATGTAAATACATTCAAAACAGAAAACGACACCCAAAATTTGCAAAATACTTAAAGATCGATGTATTCAAGAACCGATATTGAACAAGAATATGCAAAAGAAAGATATTAAAGAAAACTGTTTTTTGTTTTCGTTAAATGGAAAAAAAAAATTACAACCTCTTAAGCTTGTAGGGTTCTATCACACCAAAAATGAACATTATAACATGTATCACTGTGATGCTCAGCAAAATGTGCTTTACGGTCCACTGCCATTCAAACTTAACTGCAACCTAACACATTGCCATTTAAAAGGTAACTGCACCCCAATGCACAGCAATGCACCTGTGTTATGCAACAACTGCAAAGCGCAGATGCTTGAGCTCTAAGCATATGGACTACTCTGGAAAAAAAAAAATGTGGGACCTATTTTTTCGAGTGTTCAAAAATGAGGCAGCATCCTAATAAACATAATAGGCGAGGATTGCCTAACACTGTGTTATGGTGTGAAGGGAGCCCTATTGCTATCCATTTCCCCATAAGAGAGCTTTGCTGCACTTTCCACCCCCACATTACACCAGTCAGTTAAAAAATGTCCCCAAAATGTGGGGAACAAAATGTCCCAAATAGAAGATATACCATCTTTAGTAGTAGTACCTGCCAAACGCAACAGGAGGTATTATTCCCCCAGCTTTGCAGTTTATGGAGGAGTGGTAAAAACACGTGTTTTTACAGCTCCCCCCACAGCAAGTGTAAACGGGGCCCTTAACTTGACTTGAAGTGACCAAATTCCGAGGCCTATAGTCATAGGAATGTACATTGTGGGATCAATGAGCAGCAGTTCATCCAGCCAATGTATATACGTCAGATCTTTGCTTAGACTGGTAAATTCCCAAAATTTTACAGGAAAAAATTGTTAACACTTACATATCATCTGCAGACATCTTCATGACGCCAACACAAAGAGCATGTTGCTTTCCCTCTGCCATTATTGCCTGGTTGCAAATGTCAAGGACAAAATGTAGAATGTGATTAGGTCTAGCATTTAAAAATGCTTTATAAAATTCTTTAAAGCATTCCAGTTTGGTACACTAGATCAGCATACCTGGTAATTTTATTTAAATGAATCATCCAGGACAGCACATGAATACAGGCAACACAACCATCACAATCAGAAAAAAGGGTCACCTAGTCTCAATATTAAGCAAAAACCTAAGGCAACTAATTAAAACATCATAACTCAATACAACAGAGAATGTGTGAATCCCTGCTGTCCTCCTGGAAGATTCCTGAAAATTGAGTTACCAAGTAACGAACTCTGTTGTCCCCCAATTATCTTCCAGGACAGCACATGAGAATAAAAGGAAAAAATAACCTAATAGGGTGGGAGCTAATGCTTGCAGGACCTATTCCACAAGGTTTGGTCCTGACAGGTGAGTAGGGCAACTGAAATGTGTCACACTACTGTATGAAAACTGGACCAGGTGTCAGCTTACTAGCAGTTACAGCAAAACCCAATTTTCTCTGTCCATACTGAAGCCAAAGACCTGGAAATTACCTCTAAATCCACTGGGAGGTTCTACTTTTCAAACTATGTAGCAGCGTATGGACTGAAAAGTTGAATCTGATCCACCTGTCTACAGTGTTCTTAGATACCCTAGCAACTAATGTGGGTCCTGCAAAATATTACCAAAAAGGCCAATCAATTTTTCCCTTTGGATGTAGTAATCTACATATAAATGTGAGAATGGAGAAGTTATTCTCTATTCTTGGATAGTTTTGAAAATAGGGAAGGGATCACCAATTCCTAAGCCCTGTAACGGGGTGAATTTTAATCAGACCCTGAACACCTACTTTAAAAACTACTGAGTTCAGGAAAATTGTACAGTAGGATTCCATGATAGCTAAATCATGCCTTCCACTGCAACTCTTAATGTGTACAAACAGCTACTAGCAACATGTTCTTAACAATAATGTCCTTGCCAACAGTAGCCCTATGATCACTAAAGATAAAGAATCAAATTGCTAGAATACCAATCATGCATTGGTACTTGGGGGTGTAGGATTGGGCCATGGTTTCTTAGAACATTGTTGACTGGGAGCATCCATTGAGGCATCTTGTGTCATCTGCGCAGGATGGCAACCCCAGGGGGCTGTTTGGCCATTAAAGACTAACAATATCCTCAATCCCCCCCTCCCCCTTCCCCACAGACCTCTGGGCCACATACAGGAAGTTTTGGGGAATGCAGGAAACCCTGCAGCTTCATGAAAAAAAGGTCTAGGATGTTGAATGTGTCTAGGCTTTGGCCATATCTTTTCAACTGGGAATGGAGTTTAGGGACTTTCCTGTTTTCTTCTTAGCAGATAGTGCTAGTATCTGAAAAGAAACCCAAAACATATTGTGCTAATAAACTGCATTAGAGGGATATGCAAACATCCAATCAGATAGTATAGTCAAGGTTGTCATCCTGCTACAATATTCAGTCCCCAAGAAATACAGTGATAAGCTGGCCTCACATACTTTTTGGATCCCTGAATTTTTTGAATGTTTAGCATGGGACCAGACTAATCATTAATCCATCTATAGCCAGTATTATGTTTAAGAGCAGTCGTTTCACTAATCCACTGCTCACAAACAGGCTTGCTGGCGTTCAAACATTAGTTCAATCAGCACTGCAGCCAATAGTTATGTGGCCAATTTCAATTTTCAATATAAATATATATATTTTATTTTTTTTTTTTTTTTAATATACACACCTTGAGAAGCCAAAGACCATAAGCCAAGCACATTGGTAAAAAACAAAGAGAGTCTTTTTTTTTTCTCCAAAAATCAGGGAAACAGAAAAAACAGCTCGTCTTCGGCAAGCAAAATAGTCCAACACTTGTTGGTACCTCAAAAGAAAAAGATAAGGCTCATCTCCTACATAAACCTTGTGATATAAATAAACCCCATAGAGTTTTGTGTTCAGAACAACAAGCAAAGGGAACTCTCAACAAAACAAGTTTGTATACAAAATCTTTGCTTTAACAATAAAAAGATTAAATACAGCATAAAACCATGACACAGGATTTACAGAGCATGATGGGGTTTCTAAGGAGAACAAAGCTGAATATGTTTACCTTCTCTCTGAAAGACTCCACATGGTGTCTCTGCTATCAGACTCCTTTTCCAGCAGAACAGCCAAACATAGCCTGAAAATGCGTAAAAAAGGAACCTGAAGCTCCTATTGGCTGAATAAGTAAAAATTAATAATCCATTTGAAAAAGCTAAAATGTTTACAGTACCATTTAGTTCTGAACATGAAGCATAAAAAAAAATTGATATTCATTTTAAGCAAACCCCTGAATACAGAGTCTATTCTATTTAGACAAAAAAGGTTTCATACTATATACCACTTATCTGTCAAGTCTCTATTGCTTTGTTAAACGGAAAGGATACAACCACTGTGTCAGATGCTGCTGGGTAAAGCTTCGCTCCAGGGGATGTTAAACCCGGGCACATGATATTTGCACCACTTAGAACAAACTTTATAGCTCCTTTATCAACTTGTTGATGTGGAAGAATAAAAGGATCTAAAAGAGAAAACAGAATTTTATATGTAATGTCCGATCATAGAACTAAATAACCAACCATATGTATCAACAACATACGCTGCAAGCAGCTCTCCAATTCTATATACATTGGGGTATATTTACTAAAAGGGGTGCACTCAATCTGGTGCAGCTGTGCATGGTAGCCAATCGGCATCTAACTTCAGCTTGTTCAATTATGCTTTGACAATAAAACCTGGAAGTGGATTAGTTTCTGTGCAGAGCTGCAAATAAACCCCTAAATCTACCATTTAAAGATGCTCACTAACCAGCCAACACTCCATTGTTAGGAACGTCAATGATGGTTCCTGTGGTGTAGTGTAGGTTCTAGCAAACATTTTTCAAAGAAGAACCAATATATTACCATGTGTACTTTACTATGCAAATAAATATTATTTTACCTAATGTTCTGGGGGGGCTACATATTAACAAGATGTCACCAGATTTAAGGAAAATGGTTTTTCATCCATGCTATGTGTAAGCCCTTATTCTGGCTGACTCTATGCAATTTCTTTGACAAGATGTTAAACCCACTTCCTGTCCAGGACTTTCAGTACTATGATTAGTTTGACTAAAAATTATTTGGTTATGCAACACTACCCAAGTCAATTTTATATTTATATTTTATTTTATTTTAGAGCTTAGCTTCTTAGGGTGGTATTTAATCACCACCTGGTTTTCTATTATTTTTTTTTTGCTATATAAAAGCAAAAAAATACTAAAATTAAAAAAAAAAAAAAAACCAAAAAAAAAAAAAAAAAACAAAAAAATGTTTTTGCTACAAATTCAGGTGTGTGGTGTGTTTGGTATGCAAATATGGACACCAGCTATTTTGGGAAACTTAGAAGAAGTCTTAAAGGTCAAGTTTGCCTTTAAAAATAAAATTAATATATTTTTGTAAATAAAAAAAATTTGCATTTATTATTTTTTTTTTTTCTGGACCTAGCGGAGCATTGCAGCTAAGATCAGCAGACTGCGGGTGCAATGCCAGGCTCCTGCTGAATCTTAGTATAGCTGTGCTCCCATACCTCCCGTACAAGTAGACAGTTACTGGAGAGCAGGAAGAATAATGAACTAAGACAGCACTCATCCGGCGCCATCGCAGTTCCCTGAAAACTACAAGCAGTTTGCCACAATGACAGATGGTAGTTATATTCTAGTCATTCATATAACTCTGTAAAGGAAGCAGTCTTTAAATTCTGACAGCGCATGCAGAGAAATGCTCCTCTGCCCACTGTCCCAGCAGGGGACTGGGTGGGCACAGGCAGGTGCAGTTTGATAACATGTTAAAAGGTGAACTTATTCTTTCTGGATTTAAATGAAAAACAAATATGCAATATATTGCAGCTTACCCATTCTTTGATGTGGTGTCTGCATTAGATTTTTTTTTTTTTTTTTTTTTTTTTTTACCGCTGATAACCATTAGCAAACGCAGAAAAAGCATGGAAAGTTAACGGTATTAGCTGTCTAGAGTTCTGGCAGGATCAACAGGTAATTTATTTACAAAAATATAACAATGCTTCTAACAGTTTATTTATCAGACCAAAAAGGAGCAAATAAGAGGAGCTCATTGGTAGGGATTACATACAGTACATTTACGTCACAATAATATATCTAGTAGGAACTTTTAGTTTATTATGTTAACTGAATGAGTAACATGAGAGGCTACAACCAACAGTATTAACCCTTGCTTACAAGAGTAAACACATATAAGGCCTCACTGAAATGGGCCTTCTTCCATGAGGCCACATATGTGCTGTGTTTATGTTGGATCTCACTGTATAGCATGCACAAGGCACAGAAACCAAGCTGTGCAGACAGCTCCAGGTCTCTTAATAATGATCTGGAGTTGGGAGGACTGACTATCAATCACAGTGATCAGTGACTGTACAGCCTGCCTCTGTACTCTTACGATCTGCATTTGGTGTGCCATTAACAATATCTTAGCACTCAAAGAAGACTGCAAAGAAAGTATGTTTTGAACATGGTGCAGGAAAAATGGAACACCTTTCCCGTGCCACGTTTTGTTTTGTGATCTGTGTAAAAAATAAAATAAGAATAAAATTGCAAGATCAGTGTTCAATCTAGGCCAGTGTCAGGGAGTTTTAGACAGGATTAAAAGAACACACACACAAACCAAAAAAAAAAAAAAACGTATTTATCGTTCGTGTCTGTGTTTTAGGTAGGATTAAAAAGGAAAAAATGTGCACTATTTTTTCTGAGCCCTACTATGGGCAAAAACAAATAAATATACACATACAGTGAAGGAAATAAGTATTTGATCCCCTGCTGATTTTGAATGTTTGCCCACTCACAAAGAAATGATCAGTTTAAAACTCGAATGGTAGGTGTATTCTAGCAGACAGAATAACAAAAAATTCAAAAGAAATGCATGTCTAACAAATTATGCACTGATTTGCATGTTCATGAGGGAAATAAGTATTTGATCCCCTTTACAAAACATGACTTATTACTGGTGGCAAATCCCTTGTTGGCAATCACAGAGGTCAGACTTTTCCTGTAGTTGGCCACCAGATTTGCACACGTCTCAGGAGGGATTTTGGCCCACTCCTCTTGGCAGATCCTCTCCAAGTCATTATAGTTTGGTGGCTGACGTTTGACACCTAAACTCTCAGCTCCCTCCACGGATTTTCAATCGGATTAAGGTCTGGAGACTGGCTAGGACACTCCAGGACCTTAATGTGCTTCTTCCTGAGCCACGCCTTTGTTGCCTTGGCCGTGTGTTTTGGGTCATTGTCATGCTAGAACACCCATCCACGACCCATTTTCAATACCCTGGCTGAGGGAAGAAGGTTCTCACCCAAGATTTGACGGTACATTGCCCTGTCCATCGTCCCTTTGATGCAGTGCCGTTGTCCTGTCCCCTTAGCAGAAAAACACCCCCAAAGCAGAATGTTTCCACCACCATGTTTGACAGTTGGGATGGTGTTCTTGGGGTCATAGGCAGCATTCTTCCTCCTCCAAACATTGCGAGTTGAGTTCATGCCAAAGAGCTAGATTTTGGTCTCATCTGACTACAACACTTTCAACCAGCCCTCCTCTGCATTATTCGGATGTTCAGTGGCAAACTTCAGACGGGCCTGGATACGTGAATTCTTGAGCAAAGGGACCTTGCGGGAATTGCAGGATTTCAATCCTTGTTGTCCTAGTGTGTTACCAATTGTTTTCTTGGTGACTGTGGTCCCAGCTGCCTGGAGATCATGTACAGTCAGGTCCATAAATATTGGGACATCGACACAAATCTAACATTTTTGGCTCTATACACCACCACAATGGATTTGAAATGAAACTAACAAGATGTGCTTTAACTGAAGACTGTCAGCTTTAATTTGAGGGTATTTACATCCAAATCAGGTGAACGGTGTAGGAATTACAACAGTTTGCATATGTGCCTCCCACTTGTTAAGGGACCAAAAGTAATGGGACAGAATAATAATCATAAGCAAAACTTTCACTTTTTAATACTTGGTTGCAAATCCTTTGCAGTCAATTACAGCCTGAAGTCTGGAACGCATAGACATCACCAGACTCTGGGTTTCATCCCTGGTGATGCTCTGCCAGGCCTCTACTGCAACTGTCTCCAGTTCCTGCTTGTTCTTGGGGCATTTTCCCTTTAGTTTTGTCTTCAGCAAGTGAAATGCATGCTCAATTGGATTCAGGTCAGGTGATTGCCTTGGCCATTGCATAACATTCCCTTCTTTTGGTTGCTTTTGCAGTATGCTTATGGTCACTGTCCATCTGCACTGTGAAGCGGCGTCCAATGAGTTCTGAAGCATTTGGCTGAATATGAGCAGATAATATTGCCCGAAACACTTCAGAATTTCATCCTGCTGCTTTTGTCAGCAGTCACATCCTCAATAAATACAAGAGAACCAGTTCCATTGGCAGCCATACAAGCCCACGCCATGACACTACCACCATCATGCTTCACTGATGAGGTGGTATGCTTAGGATCATGAGCAGTTTCTTTCCTTCTCCATACTCTTCTCTTCCCATCACTCTGGTACAAGTTGATCTTGGTCTCATCTGTCCATAGGATGTTGTTCCAGAACTGTGAAGGCTTTTTTAGATGTCGTTTGGCAAACTCTAATCTGGCCTTCCTGTTTTTGAGGCTCACCAATGGTTTACATCTTGTGGGGAACCCTCTGTATTCACTCTGGTGAAGTCTTCTCTTGATTGTTGACTTTGACACACATACACCTACCTCTTGGAGAGTGTTCTTGATCTGGCCAACTGTTGTGAAGGGTGTTTTCTTCACCAGGGAAAGAATTCTTCGGTCATCCACCACAGTTGTTGTCCGTGGTCTTCCGGGTCTTTTGGTGTTGCTGAGCTCACCGATGCGTTCCTTCTTTTTAAGAATGTTCCAAACAGTTGTTATGGCCACTCCTAATGTTTTTGCTATCTCTCTGATGGTTTTTTTTGTTTTTTCAGCCTAATGATGGCTTGCTTCACTGATAGTGACAGCTCTTTGGATCTCATCTTGAGAGTTGACAGCAACAGATTCCAAATGCAAATAGCACACTTGAAATGAACTCTGGACCTTTTATCTGCTCATTGTAATTGGGATAATGAGGGAATAACACACACCTGGCCATGGTACAGCTGAGAAGCCAATTGTCCCATTACTTTTGGTCCCTTAACAAGTGGGAGGCACATATGCAAACTGTTGTAATTCCTACACCGTTCACCTGATTTGGATGCAAATACCCTCAAATTAAAGCTGACAGTCTGCAGTTAAAGCACATCTTGTTCGTTTCATTTCAAATCCATTGTGGTGGTGTATAGAGCCAAAAATGTTAGAATTGTGTCGATGTCCCAATATTTATGGACCTGACTGTACAAGATCCTCACGTGTAGTTCTGGGATGATTCCTCACTGTTCTCATGATCATTAACACTCCACAAGGTAAGATCTTGCATGGTGCACCAGACCTAGGGAGACTGACAGTTGTTTTGTGTTTCTTCCATTTGCGAATGATTGCACCAACTGTTGTCACCTTCTCACCAAACTGCTTAGCTTGGTAATAGGTAAACTTGGTAAACTGCAATAGCTTGGTAGCCCAGTCCAGCCTTGAGTAGGTCTACAATCTTGTCCCTGACAACCTTGGACAGCTCTTTGGTCTTTGCCATGGTGGAGAGTTTGGAATCTGATTGTTTGATTGCTTCTGTGGACAGGTGTCTTTTATACAGGTAACACAATGAGATTAGCAGCACTCCCTTTAAGAGACTGCTTCTAATCTCACAGTTAACTCTATGAAAGACACCTGGTAGCCAGAAATATTGCTGAATGATAGGGGATCAAATACTTATTTCCCTCATGAACATGCAAATCAGTGCATTATTTGTTAGACATGCATTTCTTTTGAATTTTTGGTTGCTATTCTGTCTCTCAGTTTTACAATACACCTACCATTTGATTTTTAGACTGATCATTTCTTTGTGAGTGGGCAAACATTCAAAATCAGCAGGGGATCAAATACTTAATTCCTTCACTGTATGTCGTATTGCTGTGTTTGTCAATTTACTATGGGGTGTTCCTTGGTGGTGGGTTATGGAAATGGAAAGAAATATACAGTTACATTTAAAAAATAGGTTTACTATTTTGCATCAGTTTTCCTTTCATAACTGACAAAACAATCAGGAGATATCCATTGCCATTTACCTTCATATAAAGGCCAAATTTGCCTTGGAAAAAAATAAATTCACCTGGATACACTAAATAGTTGCAAAGATATGTACAGTTTAACTAACACATGTTATGTTACTAGCACATGTTGTGAACTTACATTTGTGAAGCAGCCTCAGTGTTGGATAGAAAGGACCCTCTCGCTGTCTAAAGAACAATAACTCTCCATTTACAGTTAAAATTTCAATATGTTCATGGCTGTTGAGACATAAACCATACTAGGTCAAAAGGATGAAGTACCACAACTATAAATCTGTGCATTCTAAAAGAAAATTAATTATCAGTGGATTTTGTTATCAAAACACTTTTGTCAGAAACACTAATTTTCTCTAAATCTGCTGATGAGAAAAGGCTTTAACATGGTTGTAAACCTCAGACATGACGAAATAATCACATTCCTCTATAGTGTGTACTTGTCTCAATTAAGAGAACCAAGTATCATTTCTGTCAGTTGTTTTATTCCTTTGCTATCAGCATAAAATCACTTCTAACAAGCTCTCCTGACACCAAGAGAAAATGGTGTCAAGAGAGGGTCCTCCAGAAGAGTGAGACTCAGATCTGTTCCTGTGACCTGTGTGGAGGGGTGTCTCTCCCCTTCAATCAACTCTCAGAACTCTCCTCACTGAGCTGTGCAGAGTGTAATTTCAGCTCCCCACCTCCTATTTTCTGAACTCCCAGACAAGCTTTATAAATTTAGCACTTTGAACAGATGTAGAGAGAGAAAAATACTGCAGATAGACAGGTACAACTTATGTAGGAAGATGTGTTTAATCTCTTTGTACAACTTGAGGCCCAGTCACTGGGTATGTGTAAAGGTTTACAACCACTTTAAAATAACTATGATCACATATAGGGGTAAATAGTGTAAAAATAACAGCACTATTAGGAACACAGACTATTAGGATTCACACATTCATTACAACAGAAATAACTTGCTTTTATCAAATTTAAAGTATCATTACTGGACTTGTTTTTGGCAGTACTCTCTGATCCACCTCCACATCTAGGCTATCCTTTTAGGCTTTTATTTCCCCCTTACCTTGTGAAGTCAGATAAAGTCCTCCATCCATGCCCCACACTGCCACGACTGGAGGGAACCACTCCTCCAACAATGTGATGCACCGCCCCCCCCACTCTGATAACCAATCCCCTCGCTGACATCTGCCGTCTTCCTGAGCAGTCACTTCTGCAAGCCATCCAATATGAAGTGTCCATGCCAGGCAGGCACTGACATGGACACCGGAAAAAGGACCATCCAGATAGCAAACAGTTGCCAAAGCATCATGTGACAACAGCTACAGCTAATAAGGGCTTTTGGACAGGGTTTTTTTAATATAGTGATTAGTTCGAACTTGGTGGTTGAGAGCACTCTTAAAGAAAAGCTCTCATGAGTATTAAAAGTTTAAGTACAAGTCCATATATTTACGTATAAATACCTTTTTTGCCTCCTTAGGAAAACACTAAAAGATTGTGAAGAAAACTCTTCAAGTCTCCAATTTCTGCCTGTCAGCTCCTCCCTTGCCAGAAGTCCAATTTGAGGACGTTGCTATTGTTGACCCCTGGTAGGATGCACAGGGTCAGGATGCACAGGGAAAAAAAATGATGTTGTGTGACTCAGCTACCTGCATCCTTGCAGTTGCTAGATGGCTGATCCAGCTTAGCCTCCGTGAGTCAACCGGAGGTTTTACCATGGGAATTTGATGAAGAGGAAGCTGGATTATTGTGACCGGAGGGCAAGCCATCTGATACACCCCATTCCCCTTACATTCCAAATGACAGCACATGTCTTGTACAAGCACTGGAGACCAGTGCCATTAACCAAACGCATTTGTAACTCATCCCCTTGCTAGCTGCATGGTTAGACAGCAGAAAGAAAGGGGGCACGCCCTGACTGACAATGCAGCTAGCCTTAGACACAGGTTGAAAACTGATGTGCGCATTAGTTTTGGTCATGAGCTTGGAATGTTCATGCACTTTAATGTGTGTTTATAACAAGGATTTTTTTTGATCTGATCACTTTGTTTGCCCATCCAACCGGAGTCAGAGTTGAGTTGGCACCCCCAATTACTGAAGAATTTGGTGTTGCACAAACCAAACCGAGAAAGGCCCGTGGCCAAATGGGTTTAGGCGTTTTTATTAAAAAAAAAAAAAAAAAAAAAAAACCTCCGACTGATGATTTCCATATTTCGCATTGGCTTTTTAATATTCTTTTATATGGGACCATGCCTACTAACTCCCTTATGGCCTACATATCCTTGATCCCTTAAGAGGACAATAATCCTTTTCAGTTTGGAAGCTACAGGCCCATTGCTTTGCTGAATTTAGATCTGAAATTTTCCAAAATATTAACAAATTGGTTGTTACGGCACTTACAAAAACTCATCTATATGGATCAGGCTGGCTTTGTGCCCCAAGAACTTCAACACATTATTAGGGGGTCTTTAACCTTACCCATATTGCCAGGACTTCCAGTGCTTTCAAATGCAGAGAAGGCGGTTGGGCACAGGGTTGGTTGAAAGTTCATGCAGGCCACACTCCACATTGGGCTCGGGGCAAATATGATAAACTGGATTTCTTCACTTTACTCGGCCCCATTGGCGGCTGTAAGAGTTAGATTACTTTCCCAATGCAAACAGGACCAGACAGGGTTGCCCCCTCTCACACATTATCTTAATTTTGACCCTGGAACTCCTCTTCTGTACACTATGCTGCAACCCCAATACCGTGGGATACACTAAACCACCGAGAACCCACAATGTTTCTGCTTTTGCAGAGGACTTGATCTGTAATCCTCTCCCCAAGCTCCCAAATATCCTGCAGGCATTGAACGATTATGGATCCCTTTGAAATTTTAAAATTAACTTATCCAAATCACCTGTTCTCAATATATTAGTCCCCTAGGCTACCATTAATCTTCTCCGACCTCAGTTTCCTTTCCTTTGGGTGCCTGGCCATATCTGCTACCTCAGGGCGAATATAACCTGTCAACCCAGCAAATCTGTATGCTGAGAATTTTTAATCCCTGCTACGCAAAGCAAAAAGGAAGACAGAATCCGAATCGGTAGGGCCTGAAACATAGTATACAGGGCAGTATGATCATTATCAAAGAATTACTTTGCCCAAACCAAGTCAGGGTAACAGAATTCTATTGCACTACCATGGCTTTCAACTCCTCTACATTCTCAGTTTAGAGATCAGCCTACTTTGAGCAGCACAATCTTAGTGGCTGGGAAAGCTTTCAAACTTCCAACATATTACTTTCTCCTTCACTGCTTATCCCGGTAATAGGCAACCCTGAGCAAATATTGGTATACTCAATTTTCATAGACTTTTTCTACGTGCAAAAATCTCACATCATAGACTTCTTAGTTAAAGACAGCATACCCACTCCTGTAGTATTGACTTAATCCAACAGAAAGGGATTGCTGTGACAACATTTGAGTCTTTATGCCATGCTGGGGGACCTACCCACCAAGTACTCTCAGCCACCTATTCCTCACCAGACTTTGAGTTTATCCCCCTTTTCTTCAAAAGTGTGAAGCCGAACTAGCTATCCAACTTACAGCCATTGGTAACATAGCAGTGGGGGAAACAAAAAAGTCAGTCGCTTGCTGGACTAAAATAAAATGCTGCAGAATGATGCAAGTGAACAACAGCCAGTAAAGAAGCAACTTAATAGGAAAAGTTAAGTGGTTATTTAGCGAATCTGTCATTAACAAGGTGGAGAAATGAGACAAGATAATTTTGCCTCCTTCACACAAGTGTACTTAAAGAATAAGTTCACCTTTCGTAACCTGTTACACCCATATTCAGGGTTTAACATGTTGCAATCAGACCGGCCCCCGCTTTGACAGATCTCACTAGCTGTCAATTTTTATTTTTAAAAAGTTGACTTTTTTTTTTTTTTTTTTTAACAGTCCTCTCTGAATGAGAGACTACAAGTCCCGACAGCCTTAGCAGCTGTCACCGTGGTAGTTCATTCATTCTGTCAGTACATCCCATACAAGCAAGAAGGTATATGGACAGATCTGCAGCAGACCTACAGGCACCAGCGATCTGCTGATCACTGGTGCAATGCTTTAGAGGCTCCTGCAGACAAAAAATAATAAATGCGCATTTCTTTACCTGCAAAAAAATGTGCATTTATTATTTTTTACTAAAAGGTGAACTTATCCTTTAAGCGCATGCGCAAGCGAGGACTGTGTTAGCACAGGTGTTTGCAGGAGGTCTATATAAAAACATCAACCTTAAACTTCAAAATTTCAAAAGTCTAGAGATAAGCTAAGACAGGGGTGGGCAAACTTTTTGACTTGAGGGCCGCAATGGGTTCATATATTGGACCCGTGGGCCGGACCAAGAGTAGATGAATGATGTGTATGTGTCATCCATAGTAAGTATAGTAATATTCCCCCATAGTAAGCATAGTAATTCATCCCCCATATAGTAATTCATTCCCCATATAGTATTTCATCCCCCACAGTACTATTCCCCCCCAAGTAGTAAGCCAAGTCCCCCCTGTGTCAATTCACTTACCTTTGCTCCACGCGTTCCTCTCGCCGTGTTCCCGCGCCATTCCGGTCTTCAGGGCGGACTGTGAGGAGCCTAGCTCCCCTCACGTTCCTCACGCTGCCCCGCCTACACACATTCTGACAGCCGATGTTTGCCACGCTCTGCGGGCCGGATTAAGAGGTCCGCCAGGCCGTATACGGCCCGCGGGCCGTACTTTGCCCATTGCTGAGCTAAGACAACCTTCACTGTCACTGTATAATACATTTACCACAAGATCACAATGCTACCTTTCCAAATAGGAGAACAAAAATTGTTTATACAGAACGCATAAAACAGATTAGTGAAGTGAATGTTTATTTTACATTTGCATACAACACATGATTAGCTAACAATAACCCATGGCCACTTGGCTAATTAATTCTATTTATTTTTTCATATTTATGGCGCTGATGGCCCTCAGGTTAAAACAGAGCTTTTTCAATTTGTCCTCACCTTGATATTTCTGAAATGCCTACCTGGAGGCAAGCCTACCTGAGATGCAGATTGCTGAAATCAAAGAAATGATATTTTAGAGCAAAGTCCACTTACCATCGCACTATTTTCACAGGGTCCTTTTTTGGCATAATCTGGTTGAGCCATTGGTCTATCCCAGGGAACTGTTCATTCAGCTGGTTTTTAATGCCTTTTATTACTGAGGTTTTTAACTGAATGCAGTTGGATACATTTTCTTTTTCATCAAATCTGAAAGCATATTGAAAAAAAATGAATGACATTGACATAAGACAGCATTTTTTCCTGAAGAGGCTTTGAAATATATCAATATATACAGCAGGGAAAATTATTATTTGATCCGTTGCAGATTTTGTATGTTTGCCCACTTACAAAGAAATGAAGGGTCTATAATTTTATCATAGGTGTATTTTAAATGATAGAGACAGAATATCAACTAAAAATCCAGAAAAAAACACATGATAAAAATGTTACAAATTGAGTTGCAGTTCAGTGAGTAAAATAAGTATTTGATCCCCAAGCAAAACATGACTTAGTACTTGGTGGAGAAACCCTTGTTGGCAAGCACAGAGGTAAAATGTTTCTTGTAGTTGGTTACAAGGTTTGCACACATCTCAGGATGAATTTTGGTACACTCTTCTATACCGATCTTCTCTAAATCCTTAAGGTATCTTGGCTGTTGCATGACACAGCCAAGAAGCAAACACACTGATCTAGTGTAATACAGTTTTAAATTTATAAAGGTAAAGTGGGGAAAATAATTATTTGATCCCCTGAAGATTTGCCCACTTACAAAGAAATGAAAGGTCTATAATTTTTTATCATAGGTGTATTTTAAATGATAGAGACAGAATATCAACCGAAAAAACACACAATGCAAATGTTATAAATTGAGTTGCAGTTCAGTGAGTAAAATAAGTATTTGATCCCCAAGCAAAACATGACTTAGTACTTTGGTGAAGAAACCCTTGTTGTCAAACACAGACGTAAGATGTTTCTCGTAGTTGGTATCAGGTTTGCACAAGTCTTAGGAGGGATTTTGGTCCACTCTTCTTTACAGACCTTCTCTAAATCCTTAAGGTTTCTTGGCTGTTGCTTGGCAACTTGAAATTTCAGTTCCCTCCATACATTTTCTATAGGATTAAGGTCTGGAGACTGGCTAAGACACTCCATGACCTTAATGTGCTTCTTCTTGAGACACTCCTTTGTTGCCTTGGAAGTATGTTTTGGGTCATTGTCATGCTGAAAGACCCATCCATGGCCAATTTTTTATTTTTTGTTGAACTGGGTGGACTTCTGTCTTTTATTAGAAAGACTATGTAGCTATGTAAACTTCAGTGTTCTGGCTGAGGGAAGAAGGTTCTCCATCCAAGACTTTACAATAACTGGCCCCATGCATTGACCACTCAATGTGGCAAAGTCAACCTGTATCTTGAGCAGAGAAACAGCCCCAAAGCATAATGTGTCCACCTCCGTGCTTGACTGTAAAATGGTGTTCTTAGGATCACAGTCAGCATTTTTTTCTTCCTCCAAACACTGCAAGTCAAGTTAATGCCAATGAGCTAAATTTTGGTCTCATCTGACCACAGCACTTTCTCCCAATCCTTCTCTGAATCATTTAGATGTTAATTGGCAAACTTCAGCCAGGCTTGTACATGTGCCTTCTTGAGGAGGGGGACCTTGCAGGCGCTGCAGGATTTCAATCCATGGCAGCATATTGTGTTACAAAGGTTTGTTTGGAGACTATGGTCCCAACTGCCTTGCGATCATTCACAAGCTCCTCCCATGTACCTCTGGGCTGATCCCTCACTTTTCTCATGATCATCCTTACCCGGAAATGAGGCGAAATCTTGCATGCAGCTCCAGACCAAGAGAAATTTATGATTATTTTGTATTTTTTTTCATTTGCGAATACTCACTCCAACAGTTGTCTCCTTCTCACCAAGCTTCTTGCTGATGGTCTTGTAGCCCATTCCAGCCTTGCGCAGGTCATCAGTCTTCTCCCTAATGTCCTTTGCCAGCTCTTTGGCCTTGCTGATGATGACAGGTTTGATGTTTGTCTGGACAGTGCTGATTGGTCCTGTGCTGACCACATGCACTCTTCCAAGAAATAAAAAGAAACCTCTCCAGCAATACAGATATAATATAAACTCTATATATCCCTACGAAAAGTATCACTCTCACCCTCGAAAGTGTAAATAAAATATAAATAATATCTTTTCAATGCTCCCTCTATCACACCCCCAACAGTTGCCCTCATAAATAGTGCAAAAACATATATCAACAAATGTCCACATATGAGTCCATGTATAGTGCTTTTTCAAACGTTGAGGACTAATCCACTTTGCTGCTCTTCAATCCAAGACACCCAAATCAGGATACCTCAAAAAAAATATAAACTAAATATAGTGCATTATCGTTTCAACAGAAAAGAACACTCGTGAGACTAAAAGAGATTCCTCCTACACTCCCACCCGTGACAAGTCAACACTCCAAAAAAATGTGATTCAGTGCAACACTCCACAACCAGTGTCACCATCCAAATGTAATGAAAACCATTACCCTCTCATGGATGATGAGGACTACTAGTGATCACATGCATCAAAAATGAGTAGTGCCATCACTCTTGTGGTGTAAATACCATTACCCTCTTCAAATGCAGACCAAGCAAAAACTTCTTCAAGGCAATCCAAAATATCCCCCTCTCCGGAAGCTTCCTGCTGCTTCCAATCCACCTTCCCCGTTCCTCAAAGAGGCAGATAATATAAGACTCAGTGGAGTATATAAAAAAGAATTCATAAATTTATTCACAGCTTACATAGAAAACGCCAACGTCCATCCTCTCCCACAGTCCATATAGCTGAACTCCAGTATCCAAGATGGCCGTGCCGCTCCTTCCGGTTTGAAGTTCTAGTGTAACGTCCTTACGTCCTTAAGGGACTTAAGGACGTTACACTAGAACTTCAAACCGGAAGGAGCGGCACGGCCATCTTGGATACTGGAGTTCAGCTATATGGACTGTGGGAGAGGATGGACGTTGGCGTTTTCTATGTAAGCTGTGAATAAATTTATGAATTCCTTTTTATATACTCCACTGAGTCTTATATTATCTGCCCCTTTGAGGAACGGGGAAGGTGGATTGGAAGCAGCAGGAAGCTTCCGGAGAGGAGGATATTTTGGATTGCCTTGAAGGAGTTTTTGCTTGGTCTGCATTTGAAGAGGGTAATGGTATTTATACCACAAGAGTGATGGCACTACTCATTTTTGATGCATGTGATCACTAGTAGTCCTCATCATCCATGAGAGGGTAATGGTTTTCATTACATTTGGATGGTGACACTGGTTGTGGAGTGTTGCACTGAATCACATTTTTTTGGAGTGTTGACTTGTCACGGGTGGGAGTGTAGGAGGAATCTCTTTTAGTCTCACGAGTGTTCTTTTCTGTTGAAACGATAATGCACTATATTTAGTTTATATTTTTTTTGAGGTATCCTGATTTGGGTGTCTTGGATTGAAGAGCAGCAAAGTGGATTAGTCCTCAACATTTGAAAAAGCACTATACATGGACTCATATGTGGACATTTGTTGATATATGTTTTTGCACTATTTATGAGGGCAACTGTTGGGGGTGTGATAGAGGGAGCATTGAAAAGATATTATTTATACTCTCTAGCAATACACACCAAACTGAGCACGTGCAAAGTGACTCCACATGATATGTCAGGAGATAAGAGGGGGGACACAGGAAGTAGGGGAGGATCGGAGAAGTCAGGATAAAACAGCATTTTTTTGTTTTACACAATGCAGAGGATTAACACCTTACTGCATATACAGACTGATTTTACTGTTGTGGGTTTAGTAACACTTTAAAATACACCTATAATAAAAATTATAATTATCTTTGTGTTTTGGCAAATTTACAAAATCTTCAGGGGATCACATAATTATTTCCACATTGTAACAGAATAAAAAATATATCTACAGTGGAACTGAGCTCAAATCCTTCATTTAGCTTTCAAAGCAGTAAGGGTTAAAGCATTTATCTGCTTTTTATTGCTTTCTGTGTCCACATTGGAGTGATTTCCCTTTATTTTCTGTTCTGGTGACCACTATTTTGTCACAAGACACTAGTCGGTCACATGGCTAGATGGTGAACTTTTCCCAGCTGTGTTCTCTACCCAAGCTAAAGACAGGTCCGGATGTAGATTGTGTTGCACCGTTTAACAGGCTTTACTTTAAAGCCCAACTGAAGTGACAAAAAAAGATATTCAGCTAAGCAAACAGCTTAACAGATTATTTCTGACTCTTCAGTTCTGAGGTTAAGGCTCTGTTCACACTAGAGCAATTTCAGATGCACAGAATCACATGAGAAGGGAAATCACATTTTTTTTTTTTCAATGGTCACATCAATGCAACTCAACAGAGCAATATTTTGGCCCTATAGAATGTGCAAACCACTTCAGGACAGCACTGCATAATTGTACTGGATTGCAGGAGTGTGACCCTAGCTCTGCACAGCTCTGCCACACAACAAAGCCCTGTCTGCAGGATGGAAGGCCTCATTTTCCTAAGCTGCAGTGAAAGGACACCAACAGGTCTTGTACCACCCAAGGATTGGACTGGACATTGGAAGGAGAAGCAGCAAACCGATAGGTTCATCTCTCCTGTAATAGCAGCACAAGAGACAACTGAACATCCAGGCTGAGCTCTGCTGTCCAGGGGATTATAAAAGGCTACAAAAAATGAAAGCCCAATCGAACCTTCAATTTTTTTTTTTATTGTTAGAACTGTTGCGGCTTCCCTGTAACAGCAGTACACAGAAAAGCCAGACTGCAAGCACAATGCAAGGGTTAAAAGAAAAGTATGGGATTGTGTATTTTTTTTAATCATACTTATCTAGCTGGATGCAGCAATGACTCGATGCTGCATCTGTCTCCCACTGGCTTTAAGGAATAAAACTGAGCGATCAGACGCTGCTGATCACTCAGCTCTCCCTGCTGCTTTCAGCAGATTGCAGGGACTGGCAGTCACCGCTGTCTGCTCTGCCCCCGCCCCCACAAGCAGCATTCAGAATGTGCTAGGAGTTGGCACATTGCTCAGCATGTCTGATACTATCTATGGGGAAATGGCTAATAAACACGATGACCAGCTTGGAATGAATGAGCCCAGCGAGCATCAGCACAGCCATCAGCCTTTATCTCCCAGTGACAGCTGCCTGTCAGTCCTATAGTTTGCCTCTGATGGGAATCCGCTCACATGTGTC